GTGAAATCAACTAGACTCTAGAGCACTGGTTAGTGCTGAGTGAAATCGGCTAAACTTTTAAGGACTAGCCTGGGTGAAATCAACCAGACTTTGGAGGAGTCTCAGGAAGCCTGACCACTGCCATAGCCCTGTGGGCTGCCTCTGACTTGAAGGCAAGAAGGACAAGCTTTTTCAGTGACCATACCACCAGGGGTTTCCTGAAAAGTATACACAGCTCTGGGTTGTGTGGATTGAATGGGGAAGGAATTTCCTAGTCCTGGATGGTGATTTGCAAATGGAGGCCCACACAGACTTGATTTTGGAGCTGAAGACACAGGCATGCATTGCTTTGCTAAATTTCTAGCATGGGATATCTGGGGATGTAGCAGCGTGGAGACTTGGAGATTAAGAAGATACTTTGGAAAGGGCATATGGGAAGCAGGCTGCCTGCTCCCTTGATAGATTTCCACCAAAGGGAAGCTTGCTGGGGAAGGGGAGGGTGAACCAGTCCTGGTCTTGAAATAGGGCTTCAAACCATGGTCCTGGAGAGCTAGAGGCCTATACCAAGAGGTTGCTCATCTCCATCTGACAAAAGAGATGAAGAGAGAGGCAGGGAGCATCTGTAGTCACAAAGTCTCCAGGAAAGTGAGACCTCAGGTTCCTTAGCACCCCTCCCTCCCTTGGCTAGCTGGGTTTCTATCCTGAGTGGGCAGCTTCACCCCTGGGGTTCTGGGACAGGATCAGCTCGCTAGGGGGAGGGTGACCATTTTCCGCTGCCACCTTGCCTTCCCTGACCCACCAACACTGCCTGTCTCTGTGGTAATTGCCCTGCTAACTCCCATATACCAGGGGAGGTAGAGGAGAAGAAAAGGGTTCAAATATCAGATATGTTTTGGGCAGGAGGAAATATGGTTTAGTGGAAAGAACTGGGTTAGAACATGGGCTGTGTGACCTTGGGGGAGCATCTCTGCCTCCTGGGCCTTAGGTGCTTCATTTGTAAAATGAGGGGGCTGGGCTAGACCTGCAAGGTCCCTTCTGGGTCTTGAGCCTATGAGAGCAGGCCAAGACACATCCTGGGCTGCACCGCAGGCACCCATGGCTTTTGTCAGGGAGTCAGGGGAGGGAGCATGGGGCATCCATCTGAGCTGTGCTGTGCAGTGGTTAGGGAGGGTCCCAGGGAGACCAGTGCAGTGAGGCCCTAGGGCAGGGGGTCCAGGGGCTCCAAGGCTGACTCTTCATTGAGTGGGGAGCTGGTTATTTGTGAGTCCTCCAAAGTGATTAAATTTGGTCTCTGTTTCTTCACTGTAGGATCCACCTGTTGGGAGAAGGGGAAGAGAAGGGGAAGGGAAGACAGAGAAAAGGTTGATTTGGGAAGGAGGGAGCTCATTCCTTCCCTCCTCCCCCCCAAAAAAAATCCTTTAGGAGTACTTAAGGGAAAGACTACATAAGTGCCTGAAAGAGGAAGAGTGTAGGGAAGGTAGCAGGGAGAAAGGTGCAGTTGGCAGACAGTAGGTGTTTAATAAATGCTTGTTCAATTGAATTGGATCAGCCCTAGAAAGGAAGGCTGGTGGAGCAACAGCTCCCCACTCCTCAGTTCACATCAGAAAGTGAGCCTGACACACAGGGCCGCCAAGTGGGTCAGACAACATGCAACAAACTGGTTGTTAAACCGACCTCCTACCGTTTTGTGGTCACAAGAGCACTGAGTTGGGTGGCCTCTGCCCAGCCCTTTAAATAGCTCTGGGGTCAGTTTGTGTGCCCTCTTTCTGCCAGGCAAGGCTGGGCGTGAAAATGCGCCCTCAGCCCAGGCCCGATGTCCCAGAAGGGCAGGCTGGCCCCCGGCCTGAGCCCGCTACCAAAATCGACCAGATGCCACATTGGCTTCCTGAAAAAGTAGACCCGGCTTCCCAGAGTGAGAGGGAAGGACGTGAAGCAGGTCCAAGGAGGAGATGGGGCAGGAGCCCCAGCGTGCGCTGGATTCTGTCCCCTCGCCTGCCGGCCCGCCCGCCCTCCGGACTCACCGATGTGGCAGTTGTACATCCAGATTCGGTGCCCGTCGTAGCGGGTCCGGCACTTCATGATGTTGTTGCTATAGTCTGACTCGGCCACTTCGTAGTTGGGGTTAATGATGATCTGGGGAGGGGAAGGGGAAATCAAGTCAAGGAATGTGCTGGATGTGAGAGTCAGAAGACTGGGGCTTCAGCTCTGGTTCTGACGCTCAACAAGTTGTGACGTTGGGTAAGTCCTTTCCTTTCTCTGGGGAACTTCCATCCACTATAAAATAAGAGTGTTGGATCAGATTCTAACGTCCCTCCTGGACTCAGGTCTTCCTGATTCCAGGTCCCGCGGTCTCCTAACTATGCCACCAACTGCGTCTGGAACCTCTGTCCATCATGTTCTGGGAGGCATGGGTTTGAACACACTGGATTTTTCCCAAAGATCCCTGAGCCTAGGAGCCGTCGCTGGAAACAGCCTCAGGCTCCTGGAAATTGAACCTCTTTTAAGAGAGGGGGCTGCACTTGGCTGGTTGAGTTCCTGCTCTGGGATCAGACGCCTCTCCCTGAGACTCACTGTGCGCCCTTGGCACAAGCCACCTCATCTTTCTCTCCAGCCTCAGTTTCTTCATGTGTGAAATGAGGCCTCTGAGAGCACTTCCAGGTCATGGTCTAACAGTCCTCGGATCCGCAGAAGGAGCGTGCCTTCGCAGCATGCCTCCGAAAGGCTGCTGGTCTGAGTGCATGAAGAGTTAGCGGGGTCAAGGGCATTCCTCAATCATATCACTGAGATTACATTGTCGCCAAGCCTGCCTTAGCTGCTGCCCCCGGCCCCAGCCAGTCAGTTGTTTCTCCAGGTGCTCATCTCCAGAATCCCCCTCCCCTACTCACCCTTCCTGTGCCTACTTTCCCTTAAGTGCCTTTTCCCACCCCTTCTGCAGCTTCTCATCTTTGCCCCTAATTCTGCCCTCCAGCACTAAGCAGAACGAAGTCCGATCCCTCCGCCACGCGACAGCTTTCCAAATACTCGAAGTCAGTTCTCACGTTTCCCTTAGGTCGCCCTGGATCACAGAGCCGGAGCTGGGAAGGACCTCAGGAGTCTGGTTCAACCCCTCCATTTTACTGGGTGTGGGGGATAGAGCTCTGGGCCTGGAGCTTGGAAGTCCTGAGTTCAAATTCAGCCTCAGACACTTATTAGAGTATGAGCCTGGGCAAGATAGCAAATGTCCATATGCAAAACTCAAAGTACTGGATAAATGCGAGCTATTTATTGAGACTGAAGCACACGATTTTTCACTTTCTTATTTTCTTTCATTTTTTTTTGAGTGTTCTTGTACAAAATGACTAACATAGAAATGTTTTGCATGACTGCACATGTATAACCTATATCAGATTGCTTGCCATCTCAGGGAGTGGTGAGGGGAGGAAGGGAGGGAATGATAGAATTTGGAACTCAAAATTAAAAAAAAAATGCTAAGAATTATTTTAGCATGTAATGGTGGAAAAAAATATTGTTTAAAAAATTATTATCATAGAAAAGGAAACAGGCCTGGGGAGTTAAGCTGCTTGTACAAGGTTATACATAGGATCAGAACAAGAACTGGAAGGATCCTCAGAGACCATCTAGTCTGATTTCCTCAGTTTACAGATAAGGAAATTGAGACCCAGGTAAGTGACTTGCCCAAGGCCACCTAGGCCAAGGGCAGGATTTGAACCAAGGTCCTCCTGCACTTTCTTCCATACTGAATCCTGGTTCTCCTGATTACTAGCAATATAACTGTGAGCAAATGCTGTGAGTATCAGTTGTTTTTTTCTTTTTTTTGGTGAGGCAATCGGGGTTAAGTGACTTGCCCAGGGTCACACAGCTAGTAAGTATCATGTATCTGAGGCCAAATTTGAATCCTCCTGACTCCAAGCCTGGAGCTTATCCACTGCACCACCTAGTTGCCCCGGAATTTGTTTTACTTGACTATATGTATTTGTTAGAAAGGTTTTGCTTTTCCCTCTTTTTGTTCAGTTAGAGATGGGGAGGGGGAAAGGTTGAAAATAAATGCATGATAGCTAATATTGAAGTATAATTTGTATGATTTCATATGTATAATTGACATATTGCTTGCCTTCTCTATGTGTGGAAGAGAATTTGGAACTCAAAATTTTTAAAAATGAATGTTAAAAAATTTTACATGTAATTGGGAAATATTTAATGAAAAAAATATTTTTAAAAAATAAAATAAATGCATGTTAGTGGAAAAAATCAAATAAAATTTTAAAAATTAATTCTATAGCTCTTAGAAACTGTTTTCTTGAGTGGGCCCCTTTTTAGCATCTCCTCCAGTGTCTCTCACAGCACAAACTAGGTATTAAATGTTTGTGGAATTAATGTATTTGGGTATACCATACACATGATTGGGTTAGGGCTGACCTGACTGGCCTCTGAAATTCTGTGATTGAAGTAGGTAGGACAGGTCCCCTGACAAGGTAGAGGAGGCCAGTCATTGGGCTGGTGGCCTGCCAGTCATTTCTGCTTTAGAAAATGGGCTGAGAGCTCAGGGGACCCTGCAATGTCAGGAACTTAGCAGAGTCGGGGCTACAGGCTTGGAAACAGAGGACATGAAGGGGAGGCTCTGGTGAAGGCACAGCTCAGCCTTTCTGTGTCCCTCTCCCTCTCCTCTGAGATCACCATTGATTTTCATTGGATGTATCTTGTATGTACAAACATCTATCTGCCTCATTATACTGTAGGCTCCTTGCTAGGACTATGTTTTTGCCTTTCTTCGTATCCCCAGCTTTGTAGCTCTCAGCTTAGTATGGCGCCTGTAATATACACAAGAGGTGCCCATTTGACTGTCAGGGCCACAGGGCCACCAGCTACTCTGGAATGGTTGGTTGTCCTTCATGCTTGAAGAGGACCAAAATGACGGCACTGTGTCAGGGTACAGCGAGTCCAACCGCGGCTGATCAGACCAACATGCGCTCGGAAGGCTCTACCACAGGTGGGGCACAGATGGTCCGTGTGAACATTTGAGGTGGATTCTCTAAGTTTGTGCATCTCATGTTTCTTTTGAGCTACTTCCATTGTGCTTTGCTCCTAGAGCGCAGCACCGTCTCTGATGTGGGCACGCCATGCTGGGCGGTCCTGTGCCAGCGTCTCCCCTATCTCACAATCGATTCCAGAGTTCTTCAGAGAGACCTTAAGAATGTCTTTGGATTGATTTTTCTGACCTACATGTGAGTGCCTGCCTTGTGTGAGGTCTCTGTAAAATAGGCTTTTTAGGCAAATGTACATTTGGCATTCAAACAATGTGGCCAGCCCATCTATGATCCCAAGGATGTAAGGTGGGATTTGAGCCCAGGACTTCTCAACTCCAAGTCTTATCTATTTAGCCACACAAGTGGGAAGGATCCACCCACTCAGCTCTACTCTCTAGGATCTCAGCAGACTCTGCTAGTGTCATTGTCATTTCTCTCTCTCTCTCTCTCCTTCTTTCTGCTCTTTTCTTCTCCCTTTCTTTTTCTATCTCTCCCTTTCTTTCTCTCTCCCTTTTTTCCTTTTCTTTTTCTTTCTCCCTTTCTTTTTTCTACTTTTATTTTTCTATCTCTCCCTTTATTTCTTCTTTCCTCTTTCCCTTCCTTCTTTCTCTTTCTTTCTCTTTTCTTCCTTTCCTTTCTTCTTTCTTTATCTTTTTATCTTTCTCTTCCTCTCCCTTTTTCTTTCTTTCTCCCTTCCTTTTCTTTCTTCCTTTCTTTTTCTTTCTTTCCCTTTCTCCCTTTTCACTCTTCTTTCTCTTTTTCTTCCCTTCTTTCTCCTCTTATTTTTTCTCTTTCCTTTCTTTCTCTCCCTTTCTCCTTTTTTCTTTCCCTTTCTCTTTTCTCCTTTTCTTTCTCTTTCTTCTTTCTTTCTTTTTCATTCTATCCTTCCTTCTTTCTTTTTCTTTCTTTCACTGCCTTTCTCTCTTTTCTCTCTCTATTTTTCTCTTTCCTTCTTTCTCTTTTTCTCCCTTTCTTTCTCTTTCTTTCTTTCTTTTTTCTTTCTTTCTAACTTTCTTTTTCTTTTTCTTCTTTTCTCTCTGTGTTCCTTCCTTCTTTCCTTCCTTCCTTTCTCTTTTTTCTCTCTCTTTCCTTCTCTTTCTCTCTTGTTTTTCCTCTTAGTTCTCCAAAAGTGTCCTCTTGAAAGCAACTGCTGAACTGAGGACTTGTCCACCTCTCTATTAGAACAGAAGACCGTCAGAGGGCGCCAGGGACCAGGCATGGTGTGTGGCAGGTGTTCCCCAGAAAATGAGAGAGAGACACACACAGAGAGACAGAGACATGGAGAAAGATTTCCCCTCACTCAAGAGCAGGGAAATGGCTGTAACTTCTAAAACAGTGATGATGACCATGAGAGGCAATGTGGTATAATGACTACAGAATGTTGTCTTTGAAATCCTTAAGGCCTGGGTTCAAGTCCCACCTCTTGCACATACTGGCTGTGTGACCCTGGGCTAGTCACCTGACCTCTGTGCCCCTGGAAGCGCTTTTAGACTAAAAAGCCGCAGATCAGTTAGTTGTTGATTTTCATTGAGCAGAAGTTTTTTTCATCAGAAAGCTACTATGGTCTACAAGCATTTATTAAGTACCTAATGTGTGCCAGGCACTGTGCTAATCACCAGGGACATAAAGAGCAGCAGAAACAGGGTTCTCCCCTTCAAGGAGCTCACAACGATGAAATAATTCTCCAAATTCAAATACTAGTAACAGTGATAACAATAATAGTGATAATAGTAATAACGATGATAATAATATTAATGACTTAATCTATGATTTCATTATCAAAAGGAATTCCTAGGTGAGGAAATTCCCTAGATGTTCTTCATCATCATCATCATCATCATCACTACTACTACTACTACTACTACTACTACCACCACCACCACTACCACTACTACTACTACTACTACCACTACCACTACCACCACCACTGCCACTACCACCACTACCACTACTACCACTACTACCACTACCACTGCTACTACTACAACTATCACTATCACCACCACCACCACCACAACTACTACTACCATTACCACCACCACCACCACTACTACCACTACCACTACTACCACTACCACCACCACTACTACTACTACTACTACTGCTACTACTACTACTACTACTACCACCAGCATGGCATACTAATCCTAATCATTAAAAGCTGAGCCCCACTAACAGGAAAAGTAAGGCCAGAGGGGATGACCCCTCAACTCCCCATTGCACCAGGTAGAGGGGCAGTTCAGCTCCCACCATGTTGGGGAGGAGGTTGAAGTGCCCATCCCCAACCTGGTCGCCTGCGGCCTCTTTTATCCCAAGGCTGGCTAAGATCCTCCCCACCCTGAGGCTAGACTGCTGTGCTCAGCATAGATGTGGCTTGACCAGGGGTTGAGCCTGCCTGTGGTCAGCACTTGAGCCCTCCAGGGTCACCAGTCCCTCTTCCCCAGCCAGGGCAATGGGCCTTCTGCCCAGCCTTCACGGTGTGGTTTGATGTTCTCATCAAGTGGGCATCAGGTCTCCTGGTCCCTCTGAGCTTGGGCCACTCCCTTTGGCTGAGTTGATGAGCATCCTACCTTATGAATGCCCCACTTTCCTCCCCTGGTTTTTCCACCGTTACCTCCCCCCACCCTCATCCCTCTGAAACACCACCGCAGTTTACACTGGAAATATCCAACACAAACCTGCCCACTGAAGTCACTTTGGAATATTCATTCATGACCTGGCAGCTCATCGGCTCTAAACACACACACCAAAGGGGAAACGTCTGGGAGAAGTCTGCAGCAATGGGCACAATACACCCCATTCTCCCCTGGCCTGCTTGGCTCCCACCTTCTCAGGTGACACGGCAGAAAGACTATGAGTCAGGAAGCTAGCAGCCTGGTTCTAATTCCGTTCTGCCTCCTACAAGCTGGGTGACTTCACAGGTCTCTATGCCTCAGTTTCCTCTTCAGTAAAAAGGACAGATAATTCATATTTCTATAGATCCTCACAACAACCTTGAGAAGTAGATGCTATTATTATTCCCATTTTATAGATGAAGAAACTGAGGCTGGGAGAGGTCAAGGGACTTACCCAGATTTTCACAACTAGTAAGTGAGAGGTAAAAAAAAATTGGATTTGAACTCTGAAGTTCTGGGTTCAAATGCATTAAATAGAATAGGGCACAAGGCCTTGACCTGTGATGTCATTGTTAGAGAGCAGTTCCAGTGAGGAAACTCCTCTACCCATGCAGTTTGTCACCTTGTCTCTCTCTCTCTACACACACACACACACACACACACACACACACACACACACACACATGTGTACACACATTCATATACATACATATACACACACACTCACACACACACTCTACAAAGCCCTTTGAAAGACTGGGGAGCTCATCAATGCCCATGCCCAATCCCAGTTCTAGGATGGAACCTCCACCTGCCTTCGATAGAAAGGGGATGGACTCAGGAGCAGAAGGAGACATCCATTTCTGGACGAGGCCAATCCAGGTATTTGGTTTGCTCAATTACGCATATTTGTTACAGAGGTTTTGTTGTTTCTTCTTTTTTTCAATGGGAAGGGGTAGGTGGGAGGGAAAGAAAGTGGATTTTTATTCATTGGAAAAATTCAATAAAAATCTAGTGAGGTCCATATGTATAATGGCATATTGCATGTTATATATGGATGGGTGGATGGATGGACCCACATACTTGGATGCTGACTTGTTAAATATAAAAATGGCCCATCCCTCTCTAACTCTGCGGTTCTGGCTGGCCCTGAGCAGACTTGCCAGGCTGGCTCATTCCTGCCCTCCCCTTGTGGTTGCTTCTCCAAAGGTGTTGAGATCTATCGGGAGGGTGGGAGAAAGGACTGGGCCCTGGGCGGGCCAAATTCCTTGGAATAGTCTCAAAGCTGGATTGCACATTCCTGGTTACCCACCATGCCACCTGGCTGGGCAAGGGGAGGGAGGTAAAGAGGAGAAAGGCTCAGAGAGATGCATCTACAAAACTGTAGGAGTGTAGACTGCCTGCCCCGGAGAACAGCCCCAGGGGTCACTCCCCCCAGCCACTGCAGGCTGGCCGGCTGCCCTTGCCAGTCTCATCTTCTCTCCCGAGCCCTTCCCTCTTTGTGGGGGTCAGCCCCCAGGCTTCTCATCCACAGAGAGGCAACATCAGGAGGACCTTGGAGCCCGTCAAGGCCCACCTCATGTATTACCTTTACTACAAAGCCGATTCTCCAATGACTAACAACCATTGCCTCCTCCAATCTCTTCTTTGACCTCACTGAGGCTGCTAGGGGGCTCTAGGCCTGAAATCAGGAAGACTCCTCTTCCAAGTTCAAATCTAGCCTCAAACACTTACTAGCCGTGTGACCCTGGGCAAGTCACTTCACCCTGTTTGCCTCAGTTTTCTCCTCTGTAAAATGAGCTGGAGAAGGAAATGGCAAACCACTCCAGTATCCCTGCCAAGAAAACCCCAAATGCTGTCACAAAGAGTTGGGTGTGATGAAACAATAACAGATACTTAACGCTTGGATTATATTTGTCTGTGGTCACAATTAATCCTCTCAGCTGGATTGTAAACTCCTTGAGGGTAGGGATTATTTTTTCACCTTTGTATTATAAGATCATATCAGACAGGGCATGGTAAGTGCAGAAACGTCAAACCAGTGACCCCTGAAAACAGCCCAGAGTACAGCCTGAAACAGATTAAAGTAAAATTGGGAAATGTTTAAGAAAATAAATCAAAGTACAATACAACAGAGATCGTCTCCACTTACGGTTTTCGAGGTCATCTTGTGGATTTCTATTGGAGTTTGACATCAATGCAGAATGAATAGAGCTGGCTTTGGAGCCAGGAAGATCTGGGTTCAAGTCTCACCTCTGACACAAATTGACTGTGTGTCCCTGGGCAAGTCCCTTAACTGACCTCTCAGTTCTCTAAGACTAGCAGTTGCAGAGAAGGTCCTGACCTGCCTTAGCAGAAGGAAACCAACTGAACCAGGTAAATCAAAGGGCCAGTCCCCATCCCACTCATGATTTCATTAGAGCCTCAAAACATCTTTGTGAGGTGATCATTCACTCTGTTTTCAGGATGAGGCATTGAGGGTTGGAATAGTACTTTTACTTGGATCTGGTCAAATGTATGTGGGAGCAGGACCAGAATCTCTGGAGTCCTAGGCTGCTGCTGGAAGATGGGGGGAGGGAGCAGCAGCGGCTGCCTGGACGATTGGTCTGAGCAGGGTGGGTGGGGACGGAGCCCAGCTCCCACTGCAAGAGGATAGAAAGGACATCAGGGCAGGCCATTGCAAGAGAGAAATGAAAAGGTCCTCCTCTCTCCCTCCCCAATCCAGCTGCTCTTCTGGATTGGGAAGGGGAGGGGGTGCTCCTGAAGCAGTACCTGGAACAAATAGTCCCCAGGGGGCACATCGGTAATGTCGACCCATTGGCAGTCAATGTCGTGACGGTAGATGTCCCAGCAGCCCAGAGTGATGCCCTGCTCCCCGAAGTTGGCGCACTCATAACTCTTCTGGATCTCTAGAGAAAGGGGCAGAGACATAAGGGACTATGTCCTCTTTCTTGGTAACTCCTTCCGCTGACATGCAGTCAGTACATAAATGCTGCTCGGCACCCTGGAGCATCTAGGAAGTGCTGATCACTGGCTGACTCGCACCCCAAACTCTCTCTGTCTCTGTCTGCCTGTCTGTCTCCTCTCTCTCTATGTCTTTCTGTCTCTATCTAGCGCTCTCTCTCTCTCTCTCTTCCCTTTTTCTCTTTCCCCCTGCCCCAGTCTTTTTCTTTCTCTCCTTCTCCTCTCCTCTCTGTCTCTCTCTCTGTCTGTCCCTCTATCTTTATCTATCTGTCTGTCTGTCTGTATCTCCTTCCCTCCCTCTGTCTCTCTGCCTATCTCTTTCAGTCTCCCTCTCTCTCTCTCTCTCTCTCTCTCACACACACACACACACACACACACACACACACACACACACACACACACGAGCATAACTAGCAGAAACCTCATCTTTTCAACAACTAATACTAAGTGTCAATTATATGGTCTAAACAATGATATGTAAACCAGCAACCTGGAAGTGCCTGGTCTGTTTTCTCAGCAGAGCCAGATCCTTCCCATCTTTCCAGGCCCAGCCCAACCCCCACAGCCCTCAGAGGGTCTTGCCCTACAGCTGTGGCCACGGTGACCTCGGGTCCTCGGCACTCCCAGTCTGTACCCTGCCCTCAGGCCACATCACGTAGGTCCATACATACTGTGACAGCTCTCCTGCCTGTTTAACTCTGTTTAACATTTATCACTGTTTAACTTTGTTGCATGAGAATGTCTTGTTTCTCTAACTGCACTGGAAGGTCCCTGAAAGCAGGGATCAAGGGAGCCTTGCTCCCCCGGGGCCTTAAAGTAGGCTCTCTGCAAACACTGGGGTTGGTGACCAGTCTGTGCCTCATCTGGAATTCCCTTGACCACATTCCTGAGGGGTGACCTTCTGGCCTTGGCTTAAAGACCCTCAGGGAGCCATTGGTGAGCCCCTACCTCCTAACACAGCCCATCCCACTTAGGGCTAGTTTTCATTGAAAGTTTTCCCCGACATCCAGACCAAACTGGCCTTCCTGTAACTCTGGCCGCCTTCCCCTCAACCGAGGCCAGAAGGGAGCCCACCTCCTTCACACTCGGTGTCTTCCAGGCAGAAGCTGGCTTTGTGACCTTCGGCCACCTTGGTCCCATTGAGATTCAGCAGGTCATAATGTGTAAAAACTTCCATGCTGTGGTAGTGCCTGGGAAGAGAAGGAGAAAATCAGCCCCTGTTGATGCTCAAGGCATCCCATATGATCATCCATCTGCAACTAGAGGGTGCCTGAGAGGCCATTAGATATGAAGAAACTGACGGGTAGAGAAGATCAGTGATTTGCCCAGGGTTGCACAGCTAGGAAGTGTCTGAGTTTGGATTCGAACCCAAGTCTTCCCTATTTCCAAGTCAACTGTTCTATCCACTATACCATGTCAAGGATGCTACAGAGAAGAGTCTTGTCCCATTGTGGGTTAGATTAGATGGCTTCTGAGGACTCTCTGTGATTCTGAACCCAGAATCCCAGAAATCTGAGCTTGAGTCCTAATGCTACTTGCCCCTGACTAGTAGTCTGACCCTAGATAAGTAATTTTACTTCTTTTACTTTTTGTTTTTCTCATCTGTAAAATGGGTCTAATATTCCCTAGCCAATGTAGCTCTCCCTGTGGTCTATGGGAATCCCCAAAGATAAAGTTTGGAAAGGTCTCTGTGAACTCAAAAGCTCAGTGTGAACACAACAGATGAAGGAAAAGAGGCCATTTTTGCCTAAGACCTCTTAAAGGAGGAAATCCCTTGAAAACCTATCTTTGGAATGCACCGTCCTCTTCCTCTGCTGGCTGGAAAGTGTGATGGGGCCCAGATTTTAGCTCTGCCACCGCACTTCCAACCACAATCCTTCGAGTCCAAATTTCTGGCCCTAGGGTGCCTGGTGTGGGGAGGGCAGGCATCTGCACCCTGCCGGTGACCTTAAAAGTAAAAGATTAAACACAATCCAAGCACTCCGCCCTGACAAAAGTTTGAGTTTCTTTAGTTGTGCATTATGAATCTATCCCCTATGAATTATATAAGCCTTTTTTGAGGGGAAGCACCATATATGTTCAGCTATTTTACAGAGAGTCAGGTTCAAGAGTTTTGTTGTTGTTCAATAGTTTCAGTCGTGTCCAACTTTCATGACCCCATTTGGGGTTTTCTTGGCAAAGATACTAGAGAGGTTTGCCATTTCCTTCTCCAGCTCATTTTACAGATGAGGAAACTGAGAGCAAACACGGTGAAATGACTTCCCCGGGGTCACACAGTTAGTGTATGAGGCTGGATTTAAACTCACAAAGAGGAGTCCAGACCCAGCACTCTATTCACTGAGCCACCCAGCTGCCCAAGGTGAAAGAGTCTCAAAGCATGATTTTTGAGGAAGCAGCCACGGGTGCCATTTTGTATTTTCCTTTGTTTCTTAGGTCACTGAGGCCAAGAATTCATTAGCAGTTTGTTGGCAATGAGTCTTCCCGTTCGTAGCTAGACTGATCCACAGAAAGCCATCTTGGCCATTGCTAGGCCTTCAAAGCTTTTCCAGCAGGACAGAACCTGAAAGGGCTTGTGCCCAATGTCACAGCCTTGGAGAACCCAGAGTCCCCAGCATGGCACCATGTCTCATCAGAGCAGGACTTGGTTACATGGCAATGACATGAGGCACAAGAGTGTCTGAAGAATTAAAGATGGACATCACCCAGAGAATAATGTCAAGGGCATGGTGAGTTTGAGCAGGTTGTGATATATGGCCAAAGAATAACTTTGAAGAAGAACTCGAATAAAAGATGTCATCAAAGGTTTTCAGCTGTGGTCAGATGGAAAAGTCCAAGAAGACGGGATGGCCACATGGGAGGGAGAGGGATGCCCCACTGGCCCCTTCATGTCAAGAGAAAGGGAGGAAGGCCTCCAACATACTTGGGGAGCTTCCTGTGGTGAACCTATGGGCGAGGATGGACAAGAGGATGGGCCGCAACCTGCCTCACTGGAAGGAGCACCCATGTTGATGGAATCACAGGATCCCTTGAGTATTTGAATATGGAGACAGAGTTTCATGGACCATAGCTCCCGGCGGCCTTCTTTTTAATACCATTATTCTCTCCCAGTGATGCTAGGTGATTGGATGTTATCAGTATCCCATGATCTGTGCTCTCAAAAGAATCAACATTCTTGGGGACCCAAAGGGCCATGAGAAGACACATGGTGGCTATCAGTAGATGGAAGTGTATTATCAGTGAGGACTTGGAGTTGATATATGAGAACTATATCATGAGTTGAGTATATAGCCGGTTAACCTAGGTTCAAATTCCAATTCCTCTCATTATTTGTGTGACCTTAGGCAAGTAATTCAACCTTGCCAAGCCTCAGTTTCCTTACCTGTAAAATGAAAACATTGGTCTGAGATCTGGAGTCAGAATATCTAGGTCTGAAAACTGGCTCTGACCCTTACTAGCGGGGTGACTTTGAGGGGCCTGCCTTCTTATCTATAAAATTAGAGGGTCCTTCAGGTCTTTCCCAGATCTAAATCAGTCATCCCATCTCATCCTAAGTGGTACAAAATTTGTGAAAACGATCATGCGTGATGGGAACATGATGTAGGCTAGTCATGTATCAAGAATGTGATTAGTTCAAATAGTCTTGTTCAAGCCTTGGACCCTAAGCCTCTTTGGACCTCAGTTTTCCCCATCTGGAAAATGAAAGGGCATAACTAGATTATCTCTGAAGTCGTTTCCAGGCTCACTATTCAATGGGAAACCCTTCATCTCTTCTCCATAGGTGTATCGACCTCTGAGGGCACCCAAGAACAGGGGGAGGTAAGGAAAGGGCACACTTTCTGGGGGGCAAGTGGTGCCTTTTCGTTCCACAGTTTTAGGATTAATCATCCTGCCTGAGAATCCTAATGTTGACTGTCTCCTGGCATCAGGTAGCTTTTCCCAGGTCAGCCGGGTTTCTATGGAAGACATCCCTGAGTGGTGAATGCCCCGAGAATATTCATTTTGTGGCAGCCACAGGAGGAGCGGCTTCAAACGTGTCTATTTTAGCGTCTTCCTGGAGCAGACCAGGACCTTGTCTGACTTGGTGCCTAAGAAATGTCTGCCTCATTCAGAGATGGGCTTATGTTCCCATGTTTACCAGCTGGGAGGACCAGAGAGAAGTCCGTTTACATTTCACTGTCTAAACAGAGTCTAGCCCAGCACACATGCAAACAGTCTGGTGAAATCGAACATTCCATCCAGAAATATCCCTCCCTCCCAACTCTGGGCCCCTGCCTCTTTCAGATAGCCCCTTTCCTTTCCTTCCCCAAGACCGTGGCCAGAGACAGCTGCTTGCAAAACCTTAGGCCAGCTGAGGGCTTGTCGGAGGACACTTAATCCTGAAGAACCAAGGTGGTGGGCTCCCCGCTCCACGGGGGTCGTCAGGCAGAGGCTCAAGGCCAGAATGCAGCAGTGGGAATTCCTTTCAAGTATGGGTTAGACCAGATAGCTGCTCAGATTCCCCTGAGGGTTGGAGGGATGAAATCTACCCTTGTGGCACCATGGGATTATACATGCACAGTTGAACCAGGGTCATCATTAAGTATTTGAAAGCCTATCACATGAAAGAGGGATTAGAACCACAGAATCTACAGAATTTTGGAGCTGGAAGAGACCTCAGCGTCCACTCTGCACAAACTGTGCCTGAAAATAATTCTCTCTAAAACATTCCAGAGAAGTGTCCACACTTACTAACTGTGGCAAGTCATTTAAACTCTCCATCTCAGTTTCCTTACCTGTAAAATGGGTATATTATAGAATTTGCTTCTCAGGACTCTTGTGTAAACATACGTAAAGCAGCTAAACTCAATTATTGTGTGGTTATGATGATGATGATTAGTGGTCAATTATTATTGTGATGATGATGATGATTATTAGTACAGATGTGCAATTTTATCGGTGTAGAAAACTTCCTCCCCAACCCCAACCCCCAAAGTCCTTCAGTGAATGTAGATCAGCATCGGTTTTGTAAGATACCGTCTTAGAGAGGTTCCTGGGGTGCTCAGAGGGAGAATGACTTGTCCAGGTCGTTCAGCTGTCTGAAGCTGGATTTGAACTCAGGTCTTCCAGACTCTAAGCTCAGAGCTCTATCCATTGTGCTACTTAACTGCCTTTAAATATTTGAAGGGCTTATTTTGTGGAAGAGGAATCTGACTTGTTTTCATTGTCTTCAGAAGACAGAACAAGTGGCTGGAAATTATGCAGAAGACGTTTTGACTCAGTAAAGGCAAAAACCTTCTAACAAGGCTGCTAGATGCAGGAGTAAGTTTCTTCATTACTGGAGATGTGCAGGGAAATTTTGCAGGAACATTTGCTGGGGATGCTAACCCTGTACTGCCTCGATGATCAACTCTGTGTCCTCTAAGGTCTCTTCCAACACAAAAATCTTATGGATCTGGAGCCAGCGTGACCATGAATTTGCTGCCAAATGATACTTTATGAAATGATGGGGCAGCTAGGTGGTGCACTCGATAGAGAACTGGCTCTGGAGTCAGGAGGACCTGAGTTCAAATCTGACCTCAGACCAAACACTTGACACTTACTAGCTGTGTGACCCTGGGCAAGTCACTTAACCCCAATTGCCTAAAAAAAAACAAAGAAAGAAAGAAATGTCCATCTACGGGTGCTTGAGAAGTCCCATTGATATAGCCTTACCCTCTAGGACAAGAGCAGCTAACTTGACCAAGGGCAAGAGTCAGAATTCACCAATAGCACCCATAATGGACCTCTGTATACATTATCAACAATATGAACAAATGATGACTGATTAAGCATTTATTAAGCACTTACTATGTGCCAGGCACTATGCTAAGTGCTGGGGATGCAAAAACAAGCAGGCAACACTGTCCTTGCCTTGGAGAGCTTATATTTTAAGACTAGAAGGATCAGGTGAATGAATTAATGCAAAAAATTACTTTGAAATAAAAATTTATTTTCTTTGCCTTATAGACAAAAAAAAATGCATTGCATCAATTGACACAACTTGGTCCTTCAATGTTTTTCTTAAATGATGGTACTTCTAATGATAATGGGAGAAGACAGAGCATAAAGAAGAGCAGAGGAGGGTGATCTGGGAAATGATATAGATGCCTGGTTCTGGGAAAGAAAGCTCAACCATCGGGACTCAGGACCTTAGGATCAGGGTGCAAACAAC